AATAAATTATTTTTGTGCATTCATTCATAGCGTTATTATCTTCCAGTGAAGAGTGATAACTAATTTAGGAATGCTTAATCTTACTTCAAATCTTACTTCATAAAATACTTTATATTTCAAAGTATTGGAAAAAATTCCTTACATTGGAGATGATCGTAAGTAAAAAATGATGTGTGTTGGTAGTCTTGATCAAAAATTCTAATTATTTCAACAAAATTGATTTAAAATTTTCCAAAAGGAAAAAATGGCATAATTTAAAGCGATCATATTTGATATAATATTTTTAATATGCTGAGCGCACACTGCCAAAATATGGATGGATAAATGATCCTTAATGCTTGACAATAAGAATGGCTGAGGAACGGTGCAATGTCACATTCTCTAAGATGGAATGCCTGAAAAGAGAAATCTCTTTGCCCGTATTGTTTGATGTTAATTTAATTATTTCTTCTTTCCATAATCTTAAAATGGCGCACTTGTCGAAGCGGCAATTGTTGTACCATTCATATAGGCTGTCGTAAATGACAAAAGTAATGTTGAAATTGTCGAAAATTTTGAATTAATTTCGAATCCTTTGTTATTATTTGCTGTTGTGATTTCGGTTGTATTATGAGCTGTTGATGGTATGGATGAAACAGTTACAGTCGTTGGAGTTGTAGAAAATTGTCTTCTAATTGTGCTCGATAATTTCAGATTTGATGCATATGAGGTAGAAGTCGTTATTGTTCCTGAAATGATAAAATGTTGTTTATTTATATCTTAATTATCCAATACTAATATAAATTTAGATTCTTCTTACTTTGCATATATCTTAAATTACTTTTGTAGCAAAACAATACTTATTATTTAAAAAGTAAATCTTAAATCTTGGAACTTACGCTGAGGGCAGTTATATAATTTGTTAACTTTCCAGATATCAGTTGGAGAAAGACCACGTCGTTGACCAATTCTGATAACTAAAAATTTCTTTGATTTGTTTAAATTTTAACATATATTTGAAATAGTATAAGTTATCAAATCGTTTTTGATGGAATGAATTTCTAAATTTTTTGAACAAAATGAAATTGTGAGGAGAAAAAAATAGAATTAAAAATAATAGATCGATCGAATAGCTCTCTACTGATTATCATCTAATCAATCAATGATTCTATTTCGCGTATGCTAACCATTACTGCTAGATTTTGGAATTATAGTTGGTCTATTATTCTTGCTAAATGCTCCTGCAGCATAGTGTGTCACAGAATCGTAATCATAAGGTGAACCCAAATTATCAATTATAGTTGGTGAATATTTGTCAAATTGTTCTGTAAATAAAAAAAAGTATTTTTACAGTATTAATCGCTTATTAAATTTATAATAAAAAATTAAGAACTATTATTATGTTGATTGATTATGTATATTTGAATTTCAAGAAAAAATAAGCTAATTTTTGTAAAATTATCAAAATATTTACATTACATATTTGTGCTTGAAATATCAAATCTCACTTACCGATAAGAGATGGCTTCACGTTTTCCCATAGAATATTTACGTATAAATCTCGATCAGGGCGATCTATCAGAAAAAAAAATGATTGAATTCACATTTAATGTAACATACATGCAAAAAATTTCACTAATTAATTATAATTAGTCAAAAAACTTATTAACAAAATTGTGAGCAATTATTACTAACAAAAATTTTATTATCAATAAAGTGAGCAAAAAAGTAATGAAAGCAAAAATAATTGAAATATTTCATGCTAACTGATAAATAAATAAATTAAAAAAATAAGAAATAGTATTTCACATTATAAAACGCATAAATGATTAAATAACTTATAGTTTATAGAAAAACTCACTTTGTTCATGGAAAAAGCCAATTACATGCATTAATTCATGAATTACTATTCCTTTCTTTAAACATCCATCACCTAAACTTACTATTTGCCTGCCACCTGTAAATAATTTAATTTGTATGAATTGCTAGGATATAACGTTTAAATAATTCAATATTCCACTGGAAGAGTGAAGAATTATCATTTATTTGACAGATATTGAAATTACCACAAATATTTATGATGGAAAAAAGTGGAAACAAAAATTGCAATGAATGAATGATAGGTAAATTTAAAATAATTTGCTTAGGAAAAAGAGTTGTATCAAATTTTGAGAAATTTTCAATTCATGGAATAGACTTTTATTTGATAAAAAAAAATTTACAAACCATTATTGCCAACCATTGAATAGCAACCATCGTAAGGTGCGATATAAATATAATTATAATCGAATTGTCTTTTAGGAATAAATTGTATGCATGTGGTGAGATGAAATTCTTTAAATGCTTCCAAAATTATCAGTTTGCTGGAAAATGAAAAATGTGAATGTTACTGCGAATAGAAAAATGATGACAAATTAAATTGGAATAGTGGAAATATTGTAGACCTGATATTGCGCTATACCGGGAACATGACGTGTGTAATATTACAGACCTGATATTGGGATATGTCGGGGAGATGGTGTACGGTAATGTTACAGACCTGATATTGGGATATGCCGCAGAGATGAAGTATGGCACTCGTCCTTTTGGCCATAATAATGTTTTTTGTCTTACCGCATTGTGTAACTGTACTGCAATCATTTCAACCTGAGGTATAGAAGATTTGTCCTGACTTTTATCGCCAACATCTTGCCTATTCATCGGTTCAATAGGGTTAAATACAGTATCGCCATTATTTGTAAGTACTATAAAAACAGTTATTGTAATTATGATATTTGATGAGTGCTAGAGTACGAATAATATCAATGAATTAAAAAATCTATTAACTAACCAATATCGCCCTCAAAAAGATCTTCACGATACATTGCTTCTGTATAATCATCATCTTGTTCAGTATCGTAATCTTTATTGTTATCATTATCCTTATTGGATAACCACATTAACTGTCCATCTTCCATTTGAATTGCGCCTAGCGTGAATTTTCTACTCAATTTCTCCTAAACAATTTTATATGTTCATATAATTGAATTGAATTTTGATACCTATTATTGCTTATTTTGTCTGCATGTTTCATCACCAATTTTTTAAAGAAATTGTTTAATGAATGATAAAAGGAGTTGAAAAGTAAATTTTGTAAATGTATTTACATCCAAATGATTTCAATCAAGCAGTGAAAAAAAGGAAATAGTATAAGATATTAACAAATAGATGAAATTGCTTGATTAATCAAATGAAATAGGAAATAATATAAATGATTTTCAGTGAACAATTCAACATTGTAGTTATTATACAATGAATACTTATCAGTGTTTAGGCACTTACTTCATTTAAATGACTTTCCATCTTTTACAATCACATTTCAATTCACTAATATATTTACCCTCCTATTCAATTTGTGGTAGGAAAATTTCAAATTAAAATTATTTTCCAGGATAATTGAATTTATGAAAATTTTAGTTCAACAAACGAGCAAAATTATCCATTTTCCCATGAGAAGTGATATATAATTAATTACTCAATACTATTACTTTATGTAATTTGAAACTCGTTCGGAGTGCATACCCAACAAAAGACATCCATCTTTAGTATTAAATAATTAATTTCCTTATGAGGTATGTGACGGTTGTTGTATTTGTTATATGCAAAAACTTAAAATGATTAGTGAATAGGTTGGAGTGTGAAAGAAAAACTGAATTAATATCGAGGTTAAATGAGAAATAAATAGACTGAATAAAAATGTGATCATGTGGAAAAAATGTATAGATAAGATAACGGTAATCAGTCACAACAAAATTACTAGAATTAATTATGTCAGTAATTTCCGAGATGACATCATAGATCTCATTTCCTTAAGCTGTGAAATGTTTTATCATTTCGAATCGATACAGATGGAATGATAAATCATGGGAAGATTAATTAATAACTAAACTGAAAAAAATTTTACACTTCATTATTGTTGAAGCTTATTATTGATGTGATGTGAGATGTTCGAGACGATGATTTATTTAATGAATTTGAATTTCCTTTAGGGCATTAATTAATTCTTTCATTTTCAATGCACGCAATATCCCTAACTTCCTATTGTTCCTTCGTATAATTTTCCTTCAAATCCTGACTGAATTTCCGATGGAATTTAATGAAGAAAGCAACTGAAATTTAAATTTCAATATTTCCAACCATTTTCAATTTCCAATCAGCAAACGAGTATTAACCTGAATATCAATAGCAGTAAGTGTGGTGGCAATAATTTCGATGAAACAAGCATGAAACCCGCCCGTCAGCAAAATGATAAATGAGGTCATTGTTATCATTTTGACAGATCACGGATGGGACAGCTCTTCTTTTTTTCTCTTTTTTCAAATAATGGCAGTGAATATGCAGAAATATTGCTAGATAGAAATAAAAAATTAAATTGAATGGGCAAGCTGAGAAGCAAGGAAGAGGTCAAAGAGCAAATATGCGATTCGAGGTTACTTCCCAATTATTGGATGAATTTAGCTGCTAATAATTTCAAGCAATGCTAGAAATCCGGAAAGATATCAAAACATACTAACAAGCAAGTAAATTAATCTGATTTCAATTAGCTGGGCAATTTAAATTTCAATATTTGTTCAATTTGGAAACCAAGATAACAAAGCAGCACTGGGACAAACTGATAAACATAAGAGACGGTTTCAAATTTAGTTCAATACAAACAACAACTCCAGCAAAATGATATTTCAGAAGGAGTGAAAAATTTTAATTGGTAAACAAAAACAATTCATGCAAACAATATTATGCAAATAATGCACACATTGAGAGGGTTAATCGGACATAATTGCATTAATGATTTATTTTATTTTATAAATTCAGTGATTAAATAGCATTTTTGAATCCTGAACGAAAATAATTTTGATGTTTATCGACAATGCGATGACAAAATATAGAGCTTATAATGATGAATAAATGACATGCGATTACATTATTTCACTTCATCATCGGAATATTTGTTATTTTAAATATTCAATTATTACTGCTGCATACAATACTGTAAATTAGCAATCTTCTATATGACCTTTCTTATGAATGTCACCAAATTATTCCAACTAATTTTCATTATTTCGCATTTATTCAAAAAAGAAATCTAGCAAAATAATATATGTTAAGTGTAAAAGTTTATCATCGAAATAATAAAATTCTTCTCATATATTTTAATACATATCGTTTATTGATTAGAATTTCTCTTTTCTATCCAACAGTACTTTTTATTAGGGAAAAAACCGTACAGGTATTATGCATAAAAATAACAAAAAACAGATGATACAAAAAAAAATCACAGAATTATATGGTATAAAAAAGTAATTTAAAATTACACTATTTTTGAGAAGAATGGTATAGAAATTAGTGATATTGGTTAAGTTTGATTCATTTATAAGCTATGTCTTAGCTAATTTATATCGTTTGCTAAAAATTAAAAATTGGAATTTTATTTAAGGGTGAAAATTTTGCATATAAGAAATTGTTCAACAGTTTTAATTGCTGAATCAATAAGTGAAAAATTTTTTGAAGCAATTTCTTTAAAATTTTCTCACATTTGATTACATAAAAGTTTGACAAGAAAAAAAATAACAATTTTTATAATAATTGGAAAAACGAAAAAAATATATTGCAAAATTTATTACTAACAGTTAAATTTAATAATGAGGAAGTGAATTTAATTTAATTTCACAATCAAAAAGGAATGGAAGAATCTGGCGGAAATTATTCAGATCATAAAGTAATCAAAATAAATATAAAACGATTATTTTCCCTCAACAAATTTTTGAAGCAATTTAAATAACAAAGATTTGAGTCAATTTTATGTATGAGATTTAAAAAAATATTTTAAAATTTCAAAACTTTCTCAATTTATGAATTAAGAGAAAAAGTACTTTTTTGAAATCATTGTGATAACAAACAGGAAAGACTAATTGTTTTCATTGTTATTCACATCTAATTTGTTTATTCTTTTTTTCACTCCTGTTTTAATAGCATTTTAGCATTTGAAATTAAAATTTCAATTTAATTTTAATTGTGGTTTAATTTAATTGGACGTTTTTATTTATTGTGCAAGCCTTAAGCAAAATGTCTTCCTTCTAGTTGCTCATAGCCTAAGCAGCTGCTACATACTTGTACATTTTTTTTTTGCTTTATTTTTTTGTAATCTTCATGTTTGAATGAGTAAATACATCTTTTATAATGCTAAAAAAATAGGCTAATTAATTAGTAGCAAAAGAGGATGAATAACATTCCGTTACTTTTTACTTTTATGATTATCACAAACTGTTCAAGTATGTCAACAAGAACTTACGCTTTCAGCTAAAAACTTTGGAATTTTTAGAGAAGAAAGGAATGGGAACGGAACATAATAATGTTATCTTTCTTTCATCCACTTTCTCTCTCTTCGTTTTTCATAGAACTTCGAGAGAGAGAGAGAGAGAGAGAGAGAGAGAGAGAGAGAGTGAAGAGTTGGCATTCCTGTCTAGTCTCTTTCCTCTCATTTCATCCATCTGTTGCTTGCGCTATTTGTTGTTGTTGCTGATAGTTCGAGATGGCACCATCACCGCCCGGCCGTGGATGCTTTTGGGCTTTACGAAGCATCGTTTTCCTTCTCAATTTGCTTTTTTGGGTAAGCAAAGTTCATCTTTTCCTCTCTTTATTTTATTTTGAGCTTTATGAATTATTCAATTTTTCATCAAAAATTACAAATGAAATGATAACATTAATGGATATTTTTGATGAAGTCAAAATCTTAAAAGTATATTTTTTTAGTTAAAACGCTGCTTAGCTGCTTTATTTGAAAATTTAAAACTTTTGAGAAAAAAATTTGTCACCAATTAGATAGAAAATATAATAACATCGTACTGCTTTATTTGAAAATTTAAAGAGAGGCAAAAAATTTCAATAAATTAATAATAGATTGTAATAAGCTGTCGCTAGCTTATTACAATTTATTATTAATTTATTGATTATACAAATCAGTAAATTAATTTGAACTTTTTACAATCAATTATCAGAATAATCAGTGCGATCTTAACAATTATGCATTTTAGATCGTTAAACGTTCCAATAATTTTTAGAATTCTTTTAAATTATGATATTACAGAAATGGGGGAAAATAGATTATTTATTTATTTAAGGAAATTAAAAAGAATTCTTTCTCGAAAAAATCAAAGAAATTTGAATGAATCGAGCAGTATTTGTATAAAAATAGGTTAAATCAGTCGATAAGTTTTTCCATAAATAATTAGCAATTCTAGAATTGAACAATAAGCTTATGTTAATTAAAACACTATCCACCTAACGTAACACGTCCATCTTATCTTGGCTGTTACATACATCGGACACAACTTGGCATTTATTACTGAGCCAGTGGGTGCATTGACCACTGGACACTGTTTAGTACTCAGTACTTAATCATCTTATTGTTCAACATATTCATTTATGAAAAAATGGGTATAAATTCGTGCAAAAATAAAAATTCATAATTAGTGACGTCGTCTGAAGCCTGAGATTTCAGATTGTCATCTCAGTATGATTTCAGCTTTCGGGTTTATTTATACTAGCATTGGGCTTATGGCTTTTGCTGGATCGTTCGGTTAATGATATCCTCACTGCGAACAGTTCTTCACAAACGAGCGATCATTTTCCTCTGATATGTTATCTGCTAATTGGCACAGGTATATTAATGGCGTTAATTGGTGGATTAGGCTGTTGTGGTGCATGGCGTCTCAATCAAGGAATGTTAGTTGGTGTAAGCTAATTGTTTATGTATTTATTTTTTGCTTAAAATAATTAAACAGTATGTTTATTCCTTTGATCATCAGTAATTGAAGTTAACGGAATGAATAATCTTTTCATATAGAAATTCATTTCAATTAATATTATAAGCGTATTGAAATGGTCAGCTGAATAATAATTCAACAAAATATAAATCTTTTGTGAATTGAAAAAAATGAGAATTGAAAACTAATCTTCCCTATCATTTCTCATTCTCTGATGTAATATCCTTATCATATTTTGAAGAATATTTAAAACTAATCAAAGGATAATTTTTTGTATGAAAAAAATGCATTTCAAATATTTGTTTTTAGCTGCAAATAGAATTGATTTATCAAGCGACGATATGAAATGTTGAATTTTAAAAGTAATTAGTCATAATTTAAAAAATGTTAAAATTTTAAGTCTTTATAAATTAAATTGAAAGCAAAAATTAAGAAAATATACTAATAATAATATCATCCACCTTTATCACTGCAATTAAAGGAAAAATTTTTACAAAAATGCAAAAATTTTAATTTTACTAAATCTTCAAAATAAAATACTTCAAAAAACTGTCTATTTTTCTGTAATATTTTTCCACTGTGTCGCCTGAGAGTGTATCATTCGTTCCATTTTGTAATAACTTAACAATTCTCTTTTTTTTTCTTTAAAACTACCTATCCCTTAAGTAATATTCACTGATCCGTTTGAGAGTAAAAAGTTCAAAGATCCCTGTACTGATGCATTCTGCCAATCTGACGAATTTTAAAATTGATATGCTGTAAATTTTTATTTGAATTGATTCTTTGTCATTCATTTTTTTATGATTACTAACATTCCTACATGATCGATCTTTCTAACTTGTTTCAGAGTTCTAATTGATAGCAAGCTTATCAGATGTTCAAAAATTTTCATTTTAGATAGGTATCAAATTGATTTCGCAGAATTTATTTCTTAATTAAAAAGAATATGTATTTTTTTTCGTTGACAATCCTCCAAATTTCTTTAGGAATAATAATGAATACAATGAAATTATCATTAAAATTATCACGTCTCACTCTTCCCCTGCTTTCTCTCTCTCTTTATCTCTTTCTCTATCTCTTAAAATATGGAAATATCTTTGCAGTTCTTCATTATCCTTCTATTGGTATTTTGCTTACAACTGGTGGCTGCAATTCTAGCCTATAGTCAACAGGAATTTATCAAACGCTATATCGATCAATCAATGTATCGTATCGTTCAGGAACTTTATGCTACTCAACCAGCTTATAAGGAATTATTTGATAATATACAAAGTGAAGTAAGTTATGCCTTTTAAATTCCTTTAAATTTAATTAATTTATTTATTTCCACGTAATACTATCAGAGCCACAATGATGTTGTTGTATTACTGCTTTATAAACTTTATGGAAATTAAAAATTCTCATTTTTTTTCAGTTATGTTTAAGAGAAATTAGCTGCTAATGGTTTTTAGAAATGTTGAGGATAGAATTTATGTCTTTAATAATTTTAATGAAATTCTAATGGGAATGTGAGCATTTAACAGGTATGAATTAGATTTAAACCTAATTAACTAAATTAGTTGTGATTTTTAAGGAGTCTAAGATAATACTTTCTCTCTTTTGGATCAAAAAAAAACCCCTAAAAACTTCCGAATCTTTCTAATATACATCCAAAGTATCATAATTGTTTTAAAATTTATTAAGTAAATTTAAAAGATTTTGGATTTGCAACAAATCAAAGTCAATCCTTTCTGACTATTTTTAGCCTTTTTTTTAGGCTGGTAAAATTCGCAAATTATTTTTAGCCTTTTTTAGGCTGATAAAATTCGCAAATTATTTTTAGCCTTTTTTAGGCTGATAAAATTCGTAAATTATTTTCTTATAAGTTACATAAACCAGAAAAAAGATTCGTAAAAAATGAAATTTCTTATATGTTATATACAGTATTTGCGTAATTTTCAGTTTATTATTTCAGTTTAAATGTTGTGGTGTTAGAGGATATCGAGACTGGCTGTATTCTTCATGGGGACGCGATATTCCTGGAAAAACTGAACTCGGGATAGGTTGTCGATTCTTTCTCTTTCCTTCTTCCTATTTCTCTCATCTATTTTGATTCCAATGTGATTCATCTATTACAGGTTACTCGGATATTGGCAAGGTACCACAATCATGTTGCAATGAACAAGGCATGCGTGATTATCCGACTGATTGTGGTTTAACATTCGACAAGTTGGAACTTCGGACTTATGAACCATTCATGCATTCAAAGGCTAATTAGCTTTTTTGCAAGAATGATTGTTATTTTAAAAGTTATATAATGGATTTATTATCTAATTTAGGAAATGAATTTATAATTAAGTGAAAATAAAGTAAAAAAAAACATAAGATCCATTGATTGTTCATTTATTTGCTTATTGTTTATTTTGCATAAATTTAGGGTTGTAGTGAAGCAATTTATGACGCAGCTAACAGTCACCTGGACATTGTAATAGCAGTCTGTGTCATTATGGGTACTGCTGAGGTATTTTTATCTTATTTATGATTGATGATTTTCATTCAGATTAGTATGATGATTTTAAATAAATAATTTTCAATCAGTTAAATCAAAATTTCTTATCTTCACTGCTAATTCTTATCCTCGTATTTGTTCGAATCTCAAACATTAAAATAAAAACTTTAATTTAACAATTTTTTTTCAGCTAGTAGGTATGTTCTTAACAATGTTATTGTGCTGTTGGCTAAATGTTGAAAAACGTCGAAAAGCAAATTTATAGAAAAGTGATCGATGAAATAACAAAACTTCTGATGCGATGTAATAATAATAATAATAATATAGTTGGAGTAAATATGACTATAAGATGGTGTTATAATGAGTAAAATTTTATTAAGGAACACTGATAGTCAGAAGAAATGAAATCAAAATTACATGACAGTAATCAAAAATGATTGACAAATTTGAGA